GTAAATGCTGTATTTTTTACGTCTCCATTCTGGAGTACCACCATACCTATAAGAGTCCCTTTGCCAAAACCACCAAAAATGTAGATGAAACCCTTTAATATGAGAAGGGATGTTGATTACTTCTGTACCCCTACAAGCCCCCTACAGCTTTTTTATCTTACCTTCACAGCTTCATATTCAATCAAACTGCTAATATAAGAGTGGAGGATAAAAAGCAGAAGCTACTAATAATAAAACCACTGGTTCTCATTCAGCTGAATCCTAGTTAGACCAGACTTTAATTATAAGTTATTACTAGTCACACACTTCTAACATGAGAACAAAAAAAGCTGCCAGATTTGATATACTGAAATCCAGAACACGAAAAAAACACACATACATAACTTTCTGTAGGCACATGGAGCTCACCACTGGTTTATAAAGGAGACTAAAGGAAGAGCTTTACACACTCTGCATGTGTGGGCACTTCTGCCACTTTTCTAGGACGCTGAGCAGCCTGGTAGCTGGACATCCAGAAGGGCTCTCCGTTGCTGTGAAAATCCTGGAAAAGTTGTTACCCATATTCATATATGACGAAAGATTAGGCTGAGTGCTATAGGACAACTCTCATAACATTGGATGTCTAGAACCATGAAAGAAAATATCTGCCACGAATCTGTCGTTAGTCTGTGGGATAGTTAGATAATGTAATACTTTTTTTTTTTTTCCTGGGCTCATTGAAACACAGTCAAGAAACTATTGGATGGCTTTTATTATTCCATGGCTTTTCAGAAATGTGTCTTCTTATCTAGTATCCAAAACAATGAAACAATCAAAATGAGAGGGCTGGATAAAAAGAAAAAAAAAAAATCATCACTGTTTAGTACTTTCAGACAGGAGTCTGAATCTCTTTAATGGCTGAACATACGAGGAGGTAGGTCTGTGACAACAAGCTCCAGAACCAGGGCCACGCTGAGCAGGAAGCTCCTCAAAGGTAGCACACACAGTGTGAAGCTGCCTGGACTCAACCCTAAGAACTGCTGAGCACTGCAGTGTATCTTTATTCACGACTGCGTGAATACCCTTCTCCCTTGGGACGTGCCATCTGAAACCCTCACCTGAACGCAGACATTTCTGTCCTTTTTTTGAGGGACACCGTTTTCCTTTAAATCATATCAGGAAATGGGGTCATGCTCCCTTTTATACAATAGCCTAATGGCTTGAACACTTGTTCAGGAAACAGGAAAAGTAGGCTCCTTTCCTTGCTCTGTCAGAGGGGATTCAAGCCCGCTTCTCCCTCGCTGGGCAACGTCCTACCCCTTAGCTATAAGCTAGTAGATGGAAAATGGCACTCTCCAACCTTTCTGTTGAAGCTGCCCCACTCACTGCTCATAAAAATCCAAGGACAGATAAAAGACCCCTGCCTACTTGTCAGCCACTTGCCTGTCTCCAGACCCTTTCATACTTCACATCAAATGCAGAAGGAGACTTAATCATACAGTAGCAAAGCAATGGTTTTCAGCATCATAGCTGTTAACTTATTCACCTGAATTTTCCTTTAAGTGAAGTCTTTAGACACAGTCTAAAGTCTACTGCTTTAGGCATGTCCCCAAAGCCACACATAGGCTAAAATATCCAGCAAGACAAAGCTGCTTACAGAGATTGACCAATTAAGTAAATCTGAAGAAAAAGTAACAAGAGGCATCAGCAAAAGTTGATCCAGTGAACTCACTTCAAATATTATTCTGATAAAAGAAATAAAGCTGATTAACACATTCTCTGGGAATCTAGAGATGGGCTAGCAAATGTTTTCTGAAATCTACACTGTGTAGGCAAGAAAGTTAATCTCCCAGAAACAGCTCAGTGATTTTACCCAAGCCTATGAAATTTATTATAACTCAATGAACCAAAAACCTCTGAGGAAGAAAATGGGAACAAAGAGTACAGGAGATTTTCAAAACAAAATCACATTTTCAAAGAAGTCAAAGGAACCTTGCTGTATTAAATATTCAAATCAAGTAAAAATCTACACAGTAGTAAGGCTTAGATTATTTACATAGTTCCCAGCCAAATCTTCTTTAGGTACTACAAAACACAGTCCCAACATTTGCGTACCTGGATGTAAAGCGAAATGTGTATCCCTTGCTGTTTTGCTGACTGCAAAAAAAACAACCTAAAAGATGGGTTTAGGGTTGAGGGGGTGTTTTTTGGTTTCTGTGGGGCAAATTTTCTAGGACAGACTTCACTTCTGTGGTTTAAGTCCAAAAATGCATTTGATTTCTTTCTTCCAAGCCCTTGGCAAAGGGACCACATCCCTACCTATTTGCAGATAGGATAGCAGATACTGGTTTTTTCTGCACTCAAACATTTTTCCATTGCTTTTTTGTTTGCTTTTGTTATGAATGCAAACTACAGGGTTCAATAGCATCCCTCACTACTACAAATCTTCATAGACCATGGTCTCTGACTGACCGTGAGCCCAATCAAAGTCAGTCATCTTCTTCCTCTGGCTTCTGCGCCCAGCTCCCTGGCCTGAAACCATAAATCCATCGATAACTTCCACCCCAGCTACAACAGAACAGTTTGTTAAGTACAAGGGGATCAATAAATCATACCTTAAGCCCAGTTCACTACTATTTCAAGTTAATTACAAAGGGATTATTTTCCTTTAGCCCAGTACGTAGACAGAATAATATTGTTTAGATGAACCAATTATTCAGGTTCAGCTCCCTCTCCATGTTACATGGGAGTCTGACCGAACCAATTTTAACCAGAGCTCCAATCGATACAATCCCTCGTTGTGGCAGAAGACGCCAGGCGTTCAGATGCCTGCGAAAAATCCCCTCCAAAATGGACATAGTAGCAATATAAACATGTGTGGGTGCAAAGGGGATTTTCAAACGTTCTTTTACTGTGTTTATGAATCTCACAAAGCTGCTCTGTATCGGGAGTGGAGGAGGAGAAAGCATAAAAATATTAATCAGTTACTTATCTTCTGACATGTTCTGGATCAACATCTGGTGCATGTGCAAGTGATGAAGTATGGCATTTGGCACAAAAGCTTATTTAATCTTCTCTTCCCAAATTGGGCAGGGAAAATTAGCACTCTTAAAAATTAACTTTCCAGATCCAATTTTTTTTCTTTAAAATAAATTGCCAACATTGTATAGGCTGTCTGTTCTATTTTGGAAAATGTTTTTTGTCTGAGAAAAGACTGATCTTAAATAGATTATCTATGGGCTGTTTCCTACCACTTTTTGTCTCCCCTGCAGTATCTTACTGCCAGGGTTTAGTAGACAAGTATAGTCTAGGTTCAGCTATTTTATTTCTACTTCTATCAGCTCAAACTGAGATAGCTCGCACATCTGTTTTATTTCTGAAAGCACTGCATAGGAAAAGTGTCCAGCTCATTCTAATCAAGCATAAATTTTCCTATAAATAACTAAGGACCTAACGAAACAATTGTTTGGAGGAAATGAAAGTGTGTTTAGAAACTCAAATTCCTCTATACTGTATGCCTGAGCTGTTCCAGTTTGAACGTCTTCCTGACAGCACGGATCAGTTGCTCTAAGATGCTGTCCCCAGAGTCAGCAAACTGAAACTATAGCAGGAAATCCAGGTATTAACATCATCCTATGTGCTAATTATAAACCATCATTTCACATTCTGACATTATTCACTTCTAACCTCTTTTAACTAAATCACATATTTGCTTTCTAATCACAGTTTGATAGGAGAGAGTGTCTGACACAAGACAGTGAAGTGATCTTTTGATAAGACAGCGGTTCAAAGATTGTAGCTTTTATGCATATTAATGACCTTAGTTTGATTTGCTGCTCCACAAAGAAGTGGTAGAGTTTCTGAGAAAAGAGGAAAAGTTTAAATCACTTAAAAAGCTTCAAGTTCCTGACTTGTGTTCCTGTTTCAGCTTCTTACTTGAAGTCAGATGTTCGCCACCTTAACCTATTTTGCAATTTTTTTTTCCTATAACCTCTGCAAGCATTATTAAATATTTTCCACCTTCTACCTTTTTATTTTAACATACCCTGAATTTTGTCTGATGATTAATACCAGGTCAGACATCATGTCCTATGCAAACATACACTTGAAATTGGATGGACATTTGAATTTGCTTTGCATGCAAACTTTGTTACTTTTTTGGGTTTTTTTTCTTAAAATCTGAATGTTTATATCATAGAATGTTGAGGTATCCTACTGCATCTCCCAGCTCACTCACAAGAGGATTTCTTTTTAAAGAAGCATCTTTTTATTTACCAACTAAATATTAGCTCATAAGAAACTTACAGAGACTCCATGAAAAAGCTTTTGAGTCCACCCTTTCACGGTAAAAATAAGATTTATTTTTTTTTTTCAACAGTATCTGCAGTTTTTTCCCTGCTCCAACTAGATGAGAAAATGACTGAGGCAACAGTCCTTTCCTTGCATGCTCACTAACGTGAAGGACAGTGTGGATTACTGCTACTTTTTGAAATGTTTTATATACTCATTGTGTATACTGTTTTTCTGGCACTAGACAACTTTAGAGTTGCCAAGACTTGCTAGCTATTTTATCTCAATAAAGAATCAATAAGCCAAATCTTGACTCTCGGCAGCTGATAATTTTGGATTAAATTTTTAATTTCCAGCTGCTGTCTTTTGTCTCTATGGCTGATATTTTTCATTATTATTTGTTCTTTTCTTTCCATGACAGTGGATCCTTCGTATATGATTACCAATTCAGCAATTGGCCTGTTTGCTGAATAAGATCTTTGGCTATTGATTACCACAACAACTAAATCATAGACAGAAATATCACTGGTCAAAAAGCCAAGTACATGACTACTGTACAAGATGCTCAGCGGACCTGCAGGAAGCCTGGGTAAAATAGACCAAAACGGTTCTTAAGGCTTAAGGAGGTTATGTGAAATTCCTCAACTGCGGAGGTAGGAGAGGCTTTGCAAATAACCAGCTACAGCTGAGAAGGCAGTTAGCAGAATTGGAGAGACTGGGAAAATACAAACCTGCACATCGTAAGTCCCATTTAATAAGACAGGCCTCTGGGAATTGATGTCCTGCAGCACTCCTGAAAGCACAGTGCGGTTGACCTTCTGGAAGTCTTTGGAGTGGCTGAATTGCACCATGTTGTGGAGAGCCAAAATTTTAGTGTCGAGCTCAGCATCCTGCCTGGTGCGGTTGTGCAGTCCTAGGTGGTACTTGCGGAAGTGTTTGATGAGATCTGTGGGGTCGTTCCCGTAGTAACCGTATCCACAGATGTTGCATTTGAAGTCCTGAAGCTCTGGAGACAGAGGCGCCGTATCTGGGTTATCACTTACCAACAAATCTGCTTTAGATTTGTTCAGCCTTAAACCCCCATCTGAAGGCACTTGTGGGTTTTTTGAGGCCATGGGGACCGGGCTTGAGCCTTGGCCATCAGTTTGACCACTTTGCACTTGCACTGTTTCATCTGAAGCTTTTGGCGACATCTGATGCTCCTCATTTGTCTCCGCTGCATCTCCTGACGGGGTACAGACCACATCTTGGGTGTCATCTGCATCTGATTTTTGAGGAGACTTCAAGGGCTCACAGATTCCCCCAACAGCTGGAGATGAGAAAGCCAGCATATTTCTGTCTGTCACCTCATCATGAGGGAAGGATGGAACATTTCCTCCCTTATTGTGGCTTTCATAATTGAAGCCAGCCTTTTCACTCAGCACTGAGCTTTTCAAGTCCTTTTTAATGCTGGAAGATGGCTCTTGGACATGCGTGCAAAGTTCCTCCTTGTTATTTAACTCTGCCGCATCACCCTGGTCAGTGTTTTCTTGCATCTGCTCTGCGGAAAATTCTTTTTTCCTTCCAGACTCTTCACTTTCAGTACCTGTAGACTCAAGGGTCTGTACCTCACCTTCACTAGCAACGTTTCTTAGAGGGGGGTTCTTTTTCCGGACCATATCTACCACAGGAAAAAAAAAAAAAAAAAAAAAGAAAAAAGAAAGAAAAAAAGCAAAAAACCCTATAGAATTATTCAAGATAAATAACAGATTATAACCCTGACACTTTCTAAAGCATTCTGAACAACATGAATACAATTTTTCAGAAAATTTTTGTCAAGTAGGTTTTTAGTCTAAGCAGAAAACTGGAACTTTATATTAAAAAAAAAAGTCACACTGAGACTGAACTTAAATAGAAGACAACTTTAAAGTACAAAAACACTGCCATCAGAGTAAGTGAATTACACGTTTCATTATCTTTTCAGAAGATAATGGTCTGGCAGAAATAATTTTAAATGAACATGTCCTTTAAAAAAATTTATAAAAGCTAAGGGGAAAAATAAACTTTTGCAGTCTAATGTTCATACACTGTACAACTACACATACTGTAGCTTTGCAAAAATACACCTAAAAGACATAATCAGGAGCACTTAAGTTATTAGGAAGGAAATAGATTTAGACGAGTAAGTAACTTTGAGGTTTCAGAGAAAGTATTTTTCCTAAGCAGGTATCAGTTTCTCCATAGCAAAAGCTCCCCCTCCTACTGCCCATAAACTTCAAACAGGATTATATGGATAGTCTAGAGTCTGGCCCCACAGTCCATTATTCATGTAATTAGCTCTATTTGCCAAACAAAGAGAAACTAACTTTATTAGGAAACCCGTTGTCAATAAAATTTTACAGGCCTGGATCCAGACATTTGACATTGCTGTGTGGCTGAGTCGGGATGTACCCTGAAAACACCTGGAATCCACATGGATCTAAACAGCCGAATCTTCCCCTGCTCGGTTCTCCTTGCAGACACAGCCACTATTGCTAGATCTGCAAGCACGCTTCCAGGATCCATTTAAGAAAGCTCAGACAGGACAGTAATAAGGATCAGAGTGCAGGGAGGAGTCTGCCACCCATACGTTAGCTGCTAGCTGAACAGAGGAGGTTATGGAAGAACAAATCAAGACTACACAGGTAGTAAGCCAAATTCCTCATCCGCTACGTATCTTCACCTTCCTCCTTCCTCGGCCTGCATAGAGAAACTATCCATATGAAACTTCCCTGCACTCTCCACTGCGTGGTTCTGGATTTGATATTCGTCACCAGCTGGTGTGATCCATTTGTGTTCACATGCTAGCTATGGGCAGAAGACAGATGTGCTACAACTTTTTCTATGCTCTTATCTTTGCCAATGCTGTATACAGTGATGGATGTTTCTCTTTGCCAAATCGCGTGTGGTCTGGTGGCAGCAGCCTGCAGTACCACACACGAGATGTGAGCTGCAGACTCAAGCCTAAGCCCCCATTCCCAGGCCAGCACAGCCGGGCACTACGGAGGCACTGGAGATAGATGTTGCTCCGCCAAGGGAGGACCACCTGGTGACTCTGGGAGCAGCACTGATACACTCCAAGTGGTGCTGCATCCAGACCTTTAAAAGCCGCAGATGACCTTCTCAAAACAATCCTTTGAGAAGTATGGCCAGGGATGGACGTTAAAAATAGAAGAGCAGGCGTCTGTACATCCTCTTATTTACATCTGCTCCACATGAAAGGGCACTGTGTGCTATGTTGATAAAAACAGACAACTTCTTAGGGGAAGTGTTCAACTTGTGTCTTGGGCTGGCTCTGTTGTCTTTGTGGTTGAGCTGATCCACAGACAGCATGGGCTACAGCAAGACGGCTTTCACACAGAATGCCAGCTTGTGTTACAGAAAATTTGACACTCCGTGTGGTCTTAATAGGTTTCTTAAATGCCTACTGTGATTCCTTACTGCAGAAGGCACGCATGCTTGGGAACCAAGTGTCTTCTCTTTAATGTCAACCACACCTACCAGCATATGTATGCACTGAATTTTTCTTTTTTTTTTTTTTTTTTTCACCAATAACTTCTCAACCATGAAGTCACTCAGAACTAAGAGAAAAGAAAGATTTCCTGTTGTGGTAAGAGAACTATTACAATACAGACTCAGCCTACCAAAACAACATGCGCACGTATATAATTCAAGGTATAAAGATAGTCCTTAGCCTTTTAGCATTACGGCTTGTCTGTGGGACTTCATGAATACTCTCGGTTAACACACACTAAAAATATTTGTGAGCATCTCTGGTAGGTGTTCAGCTAAGTCTGTATTTTTCTCCTGGTTACACATCCCAAACCATTTTTAAAATAACTTCTGTTTAAATGCAATTCAGGGCAGCTAGAGGACAGAGAAGGAGTGAGTCCTGACTACGCAGTGAAGAAAAATCAGAAATCGAGAAAGTAAACGTCGTGACTGTTACCTCAGTCAAAACTAAACAAGACTAAATGCAATGTTTTAAAATGTTTTTGTTACAGATATTTTTGGCAGATAAGGAAAGTTTAGAGATTTTGCTATCTTCATGGCAACTGACAGAAGAGAGTCAGAGAAAAGGACAGGAAAAAAAATCCCCAAAAAGCAAAGAAAAGAAAAACTTGGACTGTATACAGGCTAACTAGACAGTACTCCAGATCTAGATACTTTGGTTCAAATTTTCCTGACATATCTGTGACACTGTGTGTTAATGGAGGGAAAAAAAAAAAAAAACCAAAACATATCTGCCTAATGGAGCTTTTTCATGCAGTACTCTTCACTTGGAGAGAGAAAGGAAAGATAACATTGACGTAAATATAAAAACTTTCTTAAGTTGAATTTAAAAGTATTTTCCCCTCTTTTCTTTTAGCTTTTGAAAAAATCATCTGTCATTTATTTGCTTGATATCCACTCAAGGGGATGGTAAGAAAGGACACTGTATTTTTTTTTGTCACTGAAATTCCACCACTATCATTTTTCAGAGACATATTATGTAAATAAAACTACATTTGCAATACTCCTAAATCGAAGAAACCATCCTCTTGCAAGTCATAAGCTAGATATAGAAAGAATATAGCCACTCTGAAATTATTATCTCTAAGACAAATAACAGATTGCACAATGTTTTATTGTGTGCCAAGAACGTTTTCAGTTAACAATTTCACTTGAAAAAATGGATCACATACTTGTAAAATCATACCCAGCATTGACTTCATAAGGCATGTGGCTTTAGAGTGCTTTTTACAATTATTAATTCTATTAGTCAACTAGCAGTCGGGCTAATGCAATTGTCTTAGAAGATGCACAGAAGACACAGAAGACATTTTGAGAGCTGATCTGTATATCTGCAAAACAAAACAAAAAAAGGTTTTCCTTCCTAAATGATGCATTCAAGATACGGTTTTTACTTAAAAAACATTATAATGCCTATTGTACATTCACATACATCTGTTAGCGGGGCACTGTACAAATAGTGGCTGCTGTTCTGCATTTCCACCAAGCATAAGAAATTCCATAGCTGCCTCCTCCTCGGACAGATGCACACCCTCTTGTACACACAAACACACACACGCAGAGAAAGAGAGACAAAAAAGAGAGGCGATGTTCTCCAAAAAACAAGTTTAAAGCAAGTTTAAAGTAAGTGTTGAAAATGGGCTGGATAAATGCTGTAAAAAAATAAAAGTGCCTTAAAAATTCACATATATTAATGGGCATTGTGCATTGTAATGGGACTGGCCTAATGGGACGGATAAAGGAATACAAATAAATGGTTCATGTCCAGACTCTGCCATCAGCAACTGAAACTTATCATCTGCTGGCTGCCTCGTGTCCCACTTGAAATGAATTTAGTGGTGTTACTTTAAGCGGGCAGCTATCCACATCTCAAAAATGCCACCACAATAATAAGCGCATTTGTTGGCTGTTGGTGAAGAAGCCAAGTGATGAACAGTCATTGGGACTGAACTACCTTTTCATCACTGGAAATGGTGATCTTCTCAAAATAAATGAATTACTAAACCTGATGGTGAATGAAAAGACTTCTCGAACTGAGGGAACTCTGGATAAGGCCCAGGCTGTAGAACTTGTCTTTGGGCTCCACAATCCAGGGTTTAGTATCTTATTTTCACTACGCTGAAATTACCTTCAAATCATGTAGGGGTTTTTTCAGCTGATATGATCACTCTCATCTATTTTCAAGTGGAAATAATATTAAAAGCTGTAGCATATTTCCCTCATAACCAGCCAAGGCTTCTCTACACAATTTGTGCATCTGCAAGATACAGACTTTTCTGCTCAACAATCACTCACATCAGTTTATCGCTAGACGTAAAAAATGGAAATTTCTGTTAAAATCAGTTAGTAATTCAGGATAATGAATTACCATAGTGACTAGTGTGCTTCTTTTAAAAAAATAAAAAGAAAAAGCAAATTCTGATAATCAATAGTCTCTTACAGGTGGTGAAGATAATGGCTAATTATGCCCCCGCAATGGGTCATTGTTGTTGCTCATTACTTTTATTGACCGTGATGACTTGTCATCAAAGCCTATTGCAACAGGATGGTTGTTGTCTTGTGCTTGCACTGCAGGCTTAGGTCAGGTCTTAGTCATATGCTCGTTTTAACAGAATAATACATTTAGAAAGATGTCTGAAATTTATGAGATGCCACTGACTAATTTTTGTACAAGTAGATGCACAAGCAGACGAAGAGCAAATTGCATCAAGGGGCTACGAAGACTACGATGTTATCAGTCAATATGCTACAGCAACAAAAAGTTAAATGAAAATACGCATTTATATTCAACAGGCTCAAGTAGGACCTCTTTGTTAAGGGATAGTAAAATTAATACTTTTACACACATATATATTACACGCCCACACACAGACATATAATGCACATAAACATCAATCATTTTGCTAGAATAATGCAGCAAAAAATCATTAACTGTCAGTGTCTCGGCTTAATATATGTCTAATACTTACCCATCTCACAGGACTGTTGTGAGGCTTAATTAATTAGTGACTGTAAAGCACTTTGTGATCCTCTAATGAAAGGTGCTACATAGCACAAAGTATTATTAAAATCATTAGGACCACAAAAAAGCCCTGTGGAATTCCAGCCTACACTGTCTGTTGGGGTTGGGAGTGATCTTATTATTAAAAGGAGACCATCAGACTAATTTTCATAATTTTTTCAAGATCTTTTTTCCCCCTTTGCTGTTGTGATAGCACATTAGTAGCTAGAAATTTAATCTTATCATCTTAATAACATACACTCATGTAGTTTGTTACTGCAGGGCTAGAGAAGAGAACAAGGCTTTTGGCACTCATCTGGCTTTCCCTTTTAAGAAAATAAAAATTGAGAGACATATTTTGACACCTTCCCACACTCCACCCCACCAGGACAGGCGATCATGTGAGATCGCAGGATACTCACTATAGCCGCATGGGAAAATACTGCTGTGGTTTTAATTTCTCTCTCCTTTTTTCTTTTTCACAGAAAAAAAAAAAAAAGAAAAAAAAAAAAGACAAGGCACAAAACAAAACCCAGCTTATTACACATAAACAGGCTACAAAGACTGTCTGCTGTGCTTTATATAAAAAAACCCTTAAGTATTCAAAGCGTCGGCTTCTATCAAGCACATAAAGTCCTAACTGATCTGGAGCCTTCTCCCGACTCTCCATATTACAGCTGAGCAGCTGTAAGGCACACGGAGCTCTGACGCCAGAAAGCTCCTGTCCTGAGAGAGAGAATTTCTGGGAAACTGTCTCCGCAGCAGGCTCTGTCCCCGCACCCAGCCCTCCGCCCCAGCCCGTCCCGCCAGGCTGGCCCAGACCTGTGCTGAGCACAACCAGAAAGTTAACAAGCTAATCAGGACAGCCCACAGTTCAAAGACCTGTATGTTTTCTAATTTAAGCATTTAAAAAAAAATAAAAAATCTGTAAATACACTGGAAACTCCAGGTGAAATTGCTGCATTCACTGAAAATTAGATGACGTTAGATGCAAACCATCCCCAGGCTCAGACACAGTGGTACAGGACTTCTCTCCCAGCTTTGCTTGTGGTTCTCAGACCAAGCCTGCCTGAAAACAACCAACACATGGTGCTAACCTTTCTCTGCTGAGAAGGGAAGGGAAGAACAACCCCTTTTGTGTAATGAACTCAAGAATCAGGCCCTAAACCATGGGAGGGCAGAATAAGTTCAATAACAAGCACCTTCAGCAAGACCACCTCCTCCCACTTTGCCACCAGCATCTTCACATACACCAGACAAGACAGGGGACATCACACAAGACAGGGGACATCACAGCTCTAAGCTAGTGACAAACGAATTCCAAAGGACTTTTTAAGCTATGCATGTTTTTCTACAAGCCCTAAAACTGCATGACCACTGAGATCGCTTAGAGTAGAACATGCCTGCACATAGCAGTCAAATTTGGCAGGATCAGACATTGTACTTGGTCAAAATGTATCTGTTTGATATCCTACACTCTGCACACTCCATTGAAATTATGATAACTTCATCCGTCTCGAAAATGCAAGGAGAAAATCATGCCTTATACATCACACTAGTAGAGGAGTTATATAGCACAACACTGGTTCTTCACCTCCTCTCTTCCTCTTCTGCACTTTTAGACTTTCCAGTTTGGTCCCTGATCACCAACTTCCCAAGAGTTTTTTGCATTTTTTTTCCACACAGTTGACAACAAAGAGACAAGTGAAAAAAGCTGCAGTCTGTGCAAGCTTGCTCCTTCCCATTTACATCTACTTTCCAAACATTGATCGTTCTCAAATCTCTAAAGGTGCACTTTTGGACATCTTAAATCCCGCTCAGCTATAAAGTGTTATCGCCTTCAAACAAGTCTCATCAAATAAATCTCTTATTAATTCACATCAAATTAATTCAGAACTATATTTTCTATTACCATATGCTTCAGAGCACAGCACACATTAGTAGTCATCTAGCTACTGGAATAAATCTAACCTTTTCTAGGGGTATAAAACAGACACTTGGTCATTTCAGAGAGTTCAGGAGTGGCATTTCAAAATAGATTGTTTGAGCGTACTTCCAGGCACTTATTTTACTTTACGCTCACTACCAGGGTAATCATGCAGACACTTTCAAGAGAAACTGAAGTCAAAAGGTGATTTGTCTACAGAGGCGACACGGGGTGGAATATTACAGTATCTTGCAACCAAAATGAAGAATTCTAAACCTGCTTTTATTTAAGGGTGCCTGAGCATGGCAGCTGGCTGCTCTGCATTTCTCGCTGCCATCCATCCCAGATCAGGGAGCCCGAGAAGGCAAAGATTCGCTTTGCCCTGGCTTCCAATCAAGCATCTGAAAATACTCTGTAAACATGACAACCTGTTAAGCCTCTAAGAACCTTGCCAAACAAGAAAATTAATCACACTGGCATTTTACAGATAGATTAAAAAAAAAAAAAA